GAGATGGCAGTAGCGTCCGCAAGGACTATCTTAAACTACTATACGAAAATAAAGTAAGGGAAACGACAATTGGCAACCTGCTAAGGTTTGCTTGAACCATTGCCGAAACCGAAAGAAAGTATGTGAAATACGAAATCATGTACATCACACATCACGACTGACAAAATCGCGGGCAAAGAGATACGTATGCCTGTAACTACAACAGCAGCAAGCCCTATTAAATGAAGGTTTCAGTGTCTTTTGTTCTGCGTCGGTGAGTGAGTGACTGTGTGTGCATGTGCGTATGAGTGACAGTGAGTGGGAATGTCAAATGAAAGTGAGAAAGCAGCCAAACACGGAGATTAAAGTTCATTTTAACAACAATGCATCTAATTATTTATAGACGTAATACAACATTATTTCAACTACCACATTCAATTTAACATTAAATGATATGCGACAGAATGACGCATTAATGAATGGTGACGTGAAATTATTCGCAAGCTCCTTCGCGAGCGAATCTTCTCGGAACTGCCGAGGTATGCAAGTAAGTCTAACTGTGCATGCAGCGTTCATTGACGGGGGTCTGTACCCAAAAATGCCGTACTTTATGAAGTTAAACGAGCTGGGAAGATTTATAAATAACCCACTCTATTTGCAGATCTATGATGGGCGCTCATGAAATGCCCTACGGGGATTATCATGAATCACAAATTGATGGGATTAACCCAAATATGACAGCGACATCTAAAAGCAAGGTGTGATTGATAAGTGGATCCTGAATCAAACTTAAACCCTAGTCCTAAATTAGTTAATGGACATAAATTGAGGGTCATACGGCTCAAAATCTGCCAAGTGTATGAATTACTTCGGTTACCTAACCTACTATCATTACGTCGTAATTACGCATAAATGCAACCCCAGTAATCAGGCAATCTGACACTATGGGGATAATCCTGGCGTTAAATTCAAAATTATAATTGTATATGAATCGCGTTACAAGCTCCGTTCTAGCGCCGATAGAAGCAGTTGGCAAGCAGTTTTCCCAGCCATTTCCTGTGTCAATCACTCAAAGTGAAAGTCAAGTCAGATCCGCCCCAGCTGTCTAGCCGGGCTGACTTAATGACTTTCACGTTAGGTCAAGTCAAGACGGGAAATGGGTAGAGAAAGAAAATAATGAGTGATGTTCATGAAAACAATGAAATCACGAACGCGCTAAATTCGTTGCAATTGAAACAATATAATTCTCTAATCACGAGAAAGGAAATCAAATAAAATACTCAATAAATGAACGATATTCACACGGTAATGAATGATGTGAGGTCAGAAGAATGAGAGTGTGCCGTTTGCTGTCAATTAGCACTTTAACCCAACAAACCTAATGTGAGCATTTAGGGAGAAGATGGAGAAGAAAGGAAAAAGAGAAGGCCCAAAATGCGTACTCATGGGTTTGAAGACTGATCATCGTGTAAGCGGCTTCGAGCGGTTTTCTTCGGAGACTGTGTATTCTAGTTGCGAGCCATAGGACACAACTACCATCACCTGCCACCAGAATATAAAGGGTATATATTGACGCCTTATTCATTGGTGAACAGGGCAGTAATAGCTTGATGGTTTGACTATTTATTGTCAAAGAGTACAGCACATAGATATATGAACACAAACGTGACAATCTTGGGATAAGCGCGGAGCATGGTAGGTCACAGCACTGCCACAGCCCAGCGGGCGGAGGGCCCTCGCGCCCAGCTGATCAGACGTGACCCCGACAGGCGCTGGCGACTGACTCTGTTTGACCCGGGTCCTCCTTGAGTATAGGTAGCGGCGACCACCGGAAAGCAGGGGGGGAGGGGGACGCCAGCTGCAGGAACCATGGGGGGAGCGAGGTGAGGTCACCAGGGCAGCTGCTTTCACACGGTATACTCTCTCTACTTTCTTTCTTTCTACCGTGTATTATATGCCCGCGTGGCTCGCACGTGGACACCCGCAGTTGCCACGTGGCGCGCCCACGCTTGACGCCCCACGCTCGCGAACCCAAGCGACGCTGCCCTCTCGGATACTTAAGGCCGCGTTTTGACCAGGTCATCAGAGTTAGTGTCAGCGCCTGTCAGGGGTCACATCTGATCCTCGCGGTCACTCCTGCCCGTGGCGGTGGCCGCCCGTGACCTAGGCGACCCATCGCTTAATGTCGGCGACCAATCGCTTAATGTTGTTGCTTCTTCCTTTATTCTCCATAACTGATGAATACAATTTCTACATTTTCCATATCCGTACTCATACGTAAAACAGCAAACAAGACAATGTGGAACGTAACAACTGTGGCCACGTGGTCTTTTATATTATTAAATTTGTAATCATTCACATAATTAACTCAATTAAAGCACGTCATTGAACGCTAACAAACTCATAAAACATAAAATCATAATAATAGGATGAATAAACTAGTACAAAGAATGTAATTTACCTCCAAACCCCTACAATAGGGCCTGGTGCTGTTAGGCGACCACAGCTGCCGTTGAAGTAA